CCAAAACCACTAATTTTGCAGAGCTTTCCGGCCTGAGCCCTGCAAAATTAGTGGTTTTGGTTGCGGCAACCACCCGGCGCAACCAAAACCACTAATTTTGCAGAGCTTTCCGGCCTGAGCCCTGCAAAATTAGTGGTTTTGGTTGCGGTCTGGGTTGCGCAACCGCCTGGCGCAACCAAAACCACTCATTTTGCAGAGCTTTCCGGCCTGAGCCCTGCAAAATTAGTGGTTTTGGTTGCGGTCTGGGTTGGGCAACCGCCCGGCGCAACCAAAACCACTAATTTTGCAAGGCTCAGGCCGGAAAGCTCTGCAAAATTAGTGGTTTTGGTTGCGCCAAGCGGTCGCGCAACCAGAACCACTAGTTTTGCAGGGCTCAGGCCGGAAAGCTCTGCAAAATTACTGGTTTTGGTTGCGCCGCCGGAGACTTGAGGAGATACTCCTAATAAGTTGATTGTGTTGAACTATAACGGTAATAATGGAACTTTGTATTTCTTAATGATATGGGATTCTTTGGGTGGGTGGGTTTTTCTAAAGCAAGAACCGTTAGCTTGACTAGAAACATTGCTGACCTAGTGATTTCTTGGCCCAGCTAATCGTAAACCCTAAAACCCTAAACCCTAAACCTTAAACCCTAAACCCTAAAACCCTAAACCCATTATTCTCATTCTTCAGGCCCGTATGCTAGGACAGCCGCGAGAGTTGAAGCCCCCAAAGATCAGAGCCAAGGCCCTTTCACCCCAGAGTAAGCCGGGCCGAGCCTTTAAGGTTCAGGGTTTCAGGTACAGGGGTTTTTAAGGTTTAGGGTTTAGGGTTAAGGGTTTAGGGTTTAGGGTTTAGGGTTTATAGGGTTTAGGGTTAAGGGTTTAGGGTTTAGGGTTTAGGGTTAAGGTACAGGGGTTACGGTGTCGGATTTAGGGTGTCGGGTTATGGGGGATCGGATATTGGCCTGGTAGTATTCCTTCCTGAGCTGTTCTCAGACAGCAAGCCGTCTTGGTCCGAATCGAGCAATGCAGCGAAGCTTGTTCTTTGGGGTTCGAGTCCTTTCCGTTCAACGCTCGCCATGCTGCACATTTGCACACTATCGGGCAAAGAACTCGATGCTCTGGACTTGGCGAGCTTTCATGCCACGCTTCCCGAAGGGATGTCTGCAGTTCGGGCACTGAAGCAGTACTTGCACAGCATGTGTGGGCTGTCAAGATTCAGGCAGAAGCTTGTTTTTCTGAATGTTCATGAGGAGGATGATGATGATTACGTGCTTCTAGACGACGAACACATGCTGAGACCCGGGCAAGTTCAGGTCGTACTTCAAAGATTCTGCCAAACATCTGAAGCTGAAGTGGAAGCGCTTCTGGATGCTGCCGAAAGCGGCCAAGCAGCAGCAGTGGAGAGTATTCTGCAAAGGCCGCAAGATCCAGATTCAGCATCTTTTCGTCGCCCAGCGTTGACCGCACTATTTGTGGCATCCCAGAGAGGCCACCTCGAGGTGACACGCCTTTTGCTGGAGGCCAATGCGGACAAGGAGAAGGCCTTGGAAGATGGCGCCACCCCTTTGTACATTGCAGCTAAGAATGGGCATTTGGATGTTGCGCGCCTTTTGCTGGAGTCCGGTGCGGACAAGGACAAGGCCAAGCAGAATGGCCACACCCCTTTGTACATCGCAGCTAAGACTGGAGAGTTGGGTAGCGCGGCTTTTGCTGGTCCGGTGCGGACAAGGACACGGCCCAGCAGAATGGCGCCACCCTTTGTACGTCGCAGCTCAGAAAGGACGGTCGGAGGTAGTGCGGCTTTTGCTGGAGTCCGGTGCGGACAAGGACACGGCCCAGCAGAATGGCGCCACACCTTTGAACGTCGCAGCTGGAGTCAGAAATGGACAGTTGGAGGTAGTGCGGCTTTTGCTGGAGTCCGGTGCGGACAAGGACACGGCCCAGCAGAATGGCGCCACACCTTTGAACGTCGCAGCTAAGAATGGACAGTTGGAGGTAGTGCGGCTTTTGCTGGAGTCCGGTGCGGACAAGGAGAAGGCCTTACACGATGGCGTCACACCTTTGTACGTCGCAGCTCTGACTGGACAGTTGGAGGTAGTGCGGCTTTTGCTGGAGTCCGGTGCGGACAGCGACAAGGCCGTGGAAGAGGGCGGCTTCACCCCTTTGTTCGTCGCAGCTGAGAATGGACAGTTGGAGGTAGTGCGGCTTTTGCTGGAGTCCGGTGCGGACAAGGACACGGCCCAGCAGAATGGCGGCACACCTTTGTACGTCGCAGCTCAGAATGGACAGTTGGAGGTAGTGCGGCTTTTGCTGGAGTCCGGTGCGGACAGCCACAAGGCCGTGGAAGATGGCGCCACACCTTTGTACGTCGCAGCTCAGAATGGACAGTTGGAGGTAGTGCGGCTTTTGCTGGAGTCCGGTGCGGACAAGGACACGGCCCAGCAGAATGGCGCCACACCTTTGAACGTCGCAGCTAAGAATGGACAGTTGGAGGTAGTGCGGCTTTTGCTTGAGTCCGGTGCGGACAAGGAGAAGGCCTTGGACAATGGCGCCACACCTTTGTACGTCGCAGCTGAGAATCGACAGTTGGAGGTAGTACAGCTTTTGCTAGAGTCCGGTGCGGACAAGGAGAAGGCCTTGGAAGATGGCGCCACCCCTTTGTACATTGCAGCTCAGAATGGGCATTTGGATGTTGCGCGCCTTTTGCAGGACGGCGCAGATTGACCCATGTGGAATCCGTGTCGAGACCTTGTATGAAGACTGGATCATATGGGTGCTTGAAGAATTGCTAATAGTATCCCTTGCCTCAGGAAGCATCTAGTGTAATTACATTGGGCACAGAGTCCAGAGTTATGATTCTGACGGTGTCGGACCAACCCTGCAGTTTGCCTCCCTGGGTAGTGTCGTTGTGCAGTCACGGTTAAATCTCTGCTGCGTAGAGCTTGCTCGTAGTTCGCCTCAGCCGACTCCATGAGGAATATGCTTGAGAAAGAATTCGTTGTTGCGTCTTTTCTTAGGCACTTTGGTGACAACGGATTGTAACATAACGTTAAAGTTAAAGCCCCAAACCCTATTGCAGTCCCTATGGTTTGGGTACTGCCCCCACTCTGTCAGAGTTGAATAGCATTTCTAATATAGATATACAAGGGCCTTCTCGTAGCCCGATTACAGACTGTCACTGGATGGGGACCAGTACCCAACCTATGGTACTTGGAGGTCCTACGAATCCCATTCAGATAGCAGTGAGCAGAGTGAAGTCATTAAAGGCCATAGAGCCGCACAAGGTTTAGCGTTTAGGCTGTTTAGGGTTCAAAAGGTCCGTGGCCATTTTGGGGTTACAATTCCTGCAAGGTCTTCACTGGAGTTGCTCAAGACAAGGGCCCTTCAACAAGAGCTTTGTTCCATCAGTCCCCAGATACCAGAGACTCCAAAAGCCCGTAGTGAAGGAATATCCCCAAACCCTTTTGAGGATCCCCGTTCACGGCACATTCCTTCATAAAGAGGTTTTGGAGTCTCGGGGGAGGTCTAAACCCCAAAATACATACCCTAGGTCCCAAAGCATCAGGCCAAGGAATAGGGTTTGGGGTTTTGGGTTTCGTGCGAATTTCGGGGTCTGTCAGGATCGAATCCTTGCCGGTGACCGCGAGTCCATCGACACTGCGAGCAGTTTGACTGCAGCTCTAGCAGAGCATTACCTTCGGGCATCAATCAGGGAGTTGTACATATATATATAATCATATATATATATATAATTATATATATATGTATATATACATATACGTACCGTATATGTCTGCCATTGCTACAGATCACAACGTCTACCGCGATGGGCCCTCTTCATCCCAGTCTTGGGACCCAGCTCTCGTTGAGGATCATTCAGCCGGCCATGCATCTCCGTGTGTTGGTGTTGGAAGTGTTTTCGGAACCCTAAACCTATAAACCCTAATCCCTAATCCCCTAATCCCTAGGACATAAGCCCTAAGCCAAGCGAGCCTCACGTGAAAACTTCTTTAAACCCCCCCTGAACCCGGCTAGAAGCACATAGAGGCCTTGGAATTATGAGCAGCCGTGTGCCTTAGGGTTCCTTATGGTGATTATCGTATCATCGACCCCCAACCACTCATTCTAACCACTTGTAAAGGCCCTTGAGTTGCGATGCATCTGTCTCCAGGGTGTAGGTTCCAAGGCCAATCTTCTTTGTACTTGCACTGCTGCAGGAACGACACCGGCAGTTTCAGAAAGTGGGTGGCCTTAATAGTAGACTTCGCTTAACGGGTAGGATCCTTAGTGCAAGGACCCTAAGATCTTCAGAAATCCCTAGACCCTAAACCCTGAAACCCAAAACCCTAATCCCTAAACCCTGAAACCCTAAACCCTAAACCCTAAACCCTGAAACCCTAAACCCTAAACCCTGAAACCCTAAACCCCAAACCCCCAGTGCGGCCGATGGCCTTCAGTGCCAGCGCCTTTTGGGTCCCCGAAGACCTTGAGGTCGAACCCCAACGGTTTCGGGTTCAGGGTTTAGGGTTTCGGGTTTAGGGTTGTAGAAGTAAGGTTTATAGGGTTTAGGGTTTCGGGTTTAGGGTTGTAGAAGTAGGGTTTATAGGGTTTAGGGTTTCGGGTTTAGGGTTGTAGAAGTAGGGTTTATAGGGTTTAGGGTTTCGGGTTTAGGGTTGTAGAAGTAGGGTTTATAGGGTTTAGGGTTTCGGGTTTAGGGTTGTAGAAGTAGGGTTTATAGGGTTTAGGGTTTCGGGTTTAGGGTTGTAGAAGTAGGGTTTAGGGTCCAGGCCATTCCTACTCTGATGGCCATCACTAGTCATGAAATCCTCCCAATATTCCGACGTAGCCAGCAGTGAAGGCAAAACGAGGAGCGACATGCGAAAGAGTTTGGAGAAGATCATGTCCGAAGCTGCGACTCTCCGGTCCCTGGTGGTCTACTCGCGGCAGAGCCTCTGCAAAAGCTTCGGGCCTGAACACTATACCCTCCAAAGGTCCGGAGCTCCGTGTTCTGATCCTGGAAGGTTTCCTCAATGTTTCCAAAAAAGATCAAAAAAGGCTTCGGCAAGGGTTCGAATACAGGGTTCGGAGTTTTAGGGTTTCCTGAGAATCCGGTTCTTCTAGCTCAGTGCCTACGTTGCGGGTGTAGGGTGTGTCTAGCGTGTATTCTCGCTGATGCCACCAAGTGAGGATCTCCCGGGTTGGGCGGACGGAGAAGAATACGGCGCTGGCTGATGCGAGGCTGTTGGATGACATCAAGAATCTGCAGGTCTCGCGTCGCCTGATGCGCAAGATGAAGCGCCAGGAAAGGGAGCAGAAGCGGCTGGAGGCTGGCAAGCCGCTTCTCCGAAAGCGTCGACGGCGGAATGCAGGCGGAAAAGGAAGCAGGACGAACAGCAAGGGCCGCAGTTCCAGCAAAACGAAGCTGGAGGGGGACCAGGAGGACTTCGGACCTGCAAATCCTCACGTACAAAGATAAATCGAAATAGCTATAACAAGAGCAATTTCCAACGAGTGTTAAAGCCCAATCCTCTGGAGACCAAAAAAACACGTGTCGGAAGGAGCAAGCAGAGGCCAGTGGCTCTTCAAGTTCTAGCAGCGACACATCTGGCAGCAGCAGCAGCAGCAGCGACGATGCTCCATAGCTGCATGTTCACACTTGGGTTAAGGTTCTCTGGTTCAGGATTGAAAGGTTTGGGGTTGGAGGTCCTTCTGAGGCTTGGGCTCGCTCTAAAGCTTCGAGCGTCGAAAGTTCAAGGGCCTTGGCAAATCACGATTGCTGCAAGATTTTGTTTTTGTGGCCTTGTGTGGCCCTGTCACACAAGTCTGCTCAACGATGACCAAGGATTATTCCGACAGCGAAGGGGATGAGAGCGAGGATCAAACCGACGACGAGAGTGTGCAGGTGGAGGGTCCGCAAGAGGACGCCGGTCAGGTGGTGGTGCCTTGGGGGAATGAATTTAAATACAAGGGAATACATGGATAAATAAACACAGACAGGTATATACATATATATATATATATGTATACATACATACATACATATATATATATATATACACACACACACATACAGACATATGTGCACATGTACATACATACGTACGCACACATGTACCGGTCTTGGCAGATTCCGGTTAATGCTGCAACATTCGATAAGACCAGGTAAGAGCAACTTTCGGACGACCCCGATATCCCTCTACCTAGAGGCTCCATAGTAGTTCCCTTTTGGGGGCTCATATGTAGAATCCTATAAGGTAATTTCAAAAAGGAACTACTATGGAGCCTCTAGGTAGAGTCACCCAGAATTTGGACAGACGCTATGCAGAGGACCCCACGCAAGATGCTGACGTCTTCGAAGGCTGCCGCACGGAGACTTCGGCTGGCAGTAGCTATGGTTCCAGACAGAGACAACTTGTGATGGCGAAGCCTGAAACTCCATCTCCAAACCCGGGAAGCAATTTAAGCAATTTGGCGCATCCGCAGTTTATCGGACAAGTTAGGAGAGCGTCGCCACGCCCCTGACGCTGGGTGAAAGCACAGAATGTCCAGACGATGCACAGCGCGTCACCCCCTTGGACATCGGTGTGACACCTCCGCTTCTGACTCTTGGACTTCTTGAGGGTGTAAGGCTTTTGTGTATTGTCTCCGATGGGTCTAGGGTAAAGAGAGTTGACTTGAGCAGATAATGGGTTGACATAAGAGTGGTGCAAGGAGTAGAATCAGAGACTAGAGTCAATGAGCGACTGCCCCTGTCTGATCGACCCCACCCCCGCCAGCCCCGCCTGCAGAATCGCCTGTGCTTGGATGGAAATCATCGAGGGACGGTGTTGATTCATCACCGGTCTAGACTTAAACTTATGAAAACTTAAGAGTTTTCAAGGATTATTTCAAACCTGAACCCTGAACCAACAATTTCAAGGATTACTTAGTTGGACTCTGTGGACGGTCCTTTGCGCTTTGGACCGAGGCCACTCCCTGAAGAGCAAACGGACCCAGACACGGCGCCCTCTGAATCATCGATCCTCCCCATTCGCACGGTGAGTGGCATCTGGGCTGGTGTAGAGGTAATTTGGGGCAAAGAAGCGGTGTTTGCAGGGTTTTTCAGGGGGTTAGAGTTTGGTTCTGCAGCTCTACAGCATTGGGGGATTCGACATCTGAGGTGAGTTGTACAGCTCGGGCACGATCACTTGTTTGATTTTTTTGTGGTGGTGCGCGCAGCTGTATAACTTAGGATGATGCAGAACCTTATTATCAATATTTCAACGAATGACGTCCCGTCTCGTCCGTATCCCGCTTGCTGCGAAAAACAAGTCCAGCTTAACAACACATGATCGGTAATTGAGAGTGCGAGCTCAGGTGCCTCGATTTCTTTGGGACCGCAATGGTCGCGGGTTGGTTCGAAGGCCATGACATGTGGCAAGAAACGGGCCGATTGCCCATCCTGGATTATTCTAGAGAGTCCAGCCTTTCTGCATACTTGGCAGGCTAGCGTGGCAGGTGACAGCTCCAATGAGCGGTACCTCATCGAGGAGGCTCCAGATGTGGAGGTGGGCTTCGCGCGGGGTGTTTGGAGGCTGCAAGAGCTTTCTCAGCTTTCCTTTCTGGCGAAAGGGAACCCGAGTAATATAGACGCTTCAAGAGTTGGAATAGGGTTTGGGGGTATATTATAAAAACAGAATAAGGGACCCCCCATGATAGTATCTGATAGTACTGGTAATGATTTAGGCCCCTAGATGACCACTTTGGGTTGGAGCCCCGAAGTCCAGGCAAAAGCTGTCGTTCACAGCAGCGTGGACTGGCAAGCCACCGTTGCGGAGTTCATGTTGGGTCGCCGTGCCGAGGACAAGGGTCAGAAAGAAGCCATATCCTTGCAGTCCCTATGCATGGTTATAGCGACAAGAACATGTCGTGCTGCGTTTAGTGGGCCCCCCCTTGACAGAACACCCCCCCCCCCGCTCCGATTCGACCAAGCCTGAGGCCCGCTGAAATGAGCTGTTTAGGGTTTAAGGGTTTAGGGTTCCTCCGCTTATTGTTATCCTCTCCTCTACCCAGTGAAGATTGAGGATAAGCACAAATGACAATGAAAGTAACATCACAGGTTTTCGCGCATAACGACACCTGGGAATGCAAAACGACAAGAGGCACTGGAACAAAAAACACACTATGGACGGTCAACTATGTAAAACTCGTGCCACATTAGACCCCAAAACGTTGTTCCAATATTTAAGGCCCCCTGTAGTACAGGCTTTAGGATTCCCGAACCGAGGTCTGGATTCAGGGCTTCTGGGATATCTTTCGCAGTTGAGAGTGTGCAAGTATGTGCAAGTGGCCCCGTCACTCCAGGCTAGGGCGGCTAGGACATCTTGTGTTCGGGTGTCGGGCGAGCCAGGACTACTTGGTTCTGGATCGCGACCAGCTGATCGTGCCCATGTTCCATGAGGATTGGAGCCAGCAGCTCCACTCAGCCGTGGAATTCCCCCTCACCATCCAGCATCGCGAGGTCGGGGGAGTGTGGGATTGCGCATTTGGGCTCGAGGCGGGCTCTCCAGAAGGTATGCCATAGCTAATATACCATTGATTCGTAATTGGGTGTGGCTTCCCGCAAACACGATGTTGATCGTTGGTTATGCGCAAGAAGCCCTTAGCCGTAGCCTGAAAACTTTAACCCTGCAAACTGATCTCCGGACACGCTGCTTCTTCACACACGAGCAGCACATGAGGAGAATTTGGCTGTATGCATCGGGCCAAGCTCAGGTCAGGGGAAAACCACGGATGAATTTGTTGCTGACAGCAATGAGTACGAAACAGCCTCATCCCGCTCTACGGAGGCACCTCTGGTGGTGGAGTACAGCACCCAATGGACGAAGGCGAAGAGTTGGTGCCGAGACTTAGGGAAGTTTGTACCGCTGAACACGGGCAGGACAGTCAAAACTTACGAACCTACTGTCGCAACAACTGCCAGAATACAGAGGAAACGCAGCCGTCGTCGTCGAAGTAGTAGCAGACTTGTGTCTGGTGGCTGTAGTGATAGTAGCAGTCGTCTTGGCACCAGCTGCTGCAGCAACCGTAGTAGCAGCAGTGATGGTCATAGTAAGAGTAGAAGTGGACGTCGTCGTGATCGTCGTCGTCGTCATCGAACGATGTTTCTCCGGTGTGGGATGGTCCGTCAGCGCCATGGTTAGATTCGCTCTCGTCGTTGTGATCATCATCATCATTCCCATCTTGATCGACAGCCATGCGCAACGTCTTACTCATCATTTTCATGCTCTTGTCCGTTGTCATCGTTATCATCCTTGAAATCAGCAGAATCTACATCGGTGTCACTGCCACCGTCATGATGTCATCATTATCAAGAGCCTGAGTGTCGTTGTCATCCCCATCCTACTCCCGAGACTGCTGGGCCTAGCAGCTCAAAGAACTTGCCAGGCCTACAGCTCGACACCGAAATGGGAGTTTCCGATAATTTGGGATACCTTATTCCCTGAGACTCCAATATCCCTTAACTAAGGAATATACCCTAGATTGTAGTAGGATCCCTAATATGATTTAAGGAATATTCCTTAATTAAGGGATATTGGAGTCTCTGGGTTCTGGGGTCCTTGTATTGAGGACCCTACTATTTAGGGTACTATATTAGGGTCCCCTAATTTCGAAATCTCCACAAATCACTACCCGCCCGAATGCCGAACCCGGGCACAGACTGACGACTCTTTCGGCCCGAAGGTGGTCGGATCGTACATGGAGGGGCGTGACCTCGAGGACTACGACGTCTTCGACAGCCACGAGGAGTTAATTCCACTCTTCGAGGAGATCACAGAAGCGGAGCGTGCGTTTCTTTTTTGTTGCATTCGAGTTTCGCGTTGCAGGTGGTTGAAATTTACTTGGACGATGCATTGCCTCGGGCAGTGTTTTTGCAGCCCTACGCTACTGCCTCCGAGAGTTTGTCTCAGGAGGTTTGGAAGCCGTCTACGCCTTTGCCAAGCTTCCCCATAAGGATTCAGCGCAAGGCCTGCTAAGCGGGTTATTGTGCTTTTGGGTCTCTTCTTGGGATCTTAAGGTCCGGGTTGGATAAGCATCGCGACTCGAAGAAGAGAGGATAGTTCCTGGATCGCCGTTCGTCTACCTGGGCTCATGGGCGAAATTCTGCATCATCCGTCAAAAGAACTTTGGCTGTGCAATGGTCCACGTAGTTCGGTCTATAGCAAACTAGTGAGGGTTTTGTACATCGCGGTCTGACTGTTTCCTGCTCACTGAGCACAAACTGCCTGACACTAGGGCCTCGGTTGCCTGAAGTCAGTGTGCTACCCAGTAACCCACTATTTGGGCAACTGGAGCCCGAAGCCCGAAACTCTGAATACTTTCCCTCGTCCCGCGGACACTTTCGCCGTGTGTGTTCCATCACGGCTTCTCGGTTGACGAGCCGTATTGTATAATTCGGGATATGGGCCCTGAAGGGTTAGGGACACTGGAAGAACACAAATCCAAGCTCTTGTAATATGGGGGCATAAATAACTACCATTACCAATACCTGTAATTAGAGTATAATGGGCCCCCAAACCCTATTCTAACTGGCGAGGCCCCTCTGTTACCTGCCGTTCACATGTCTCAGCCGAGCAGAGGAGTCGGGGCCCGGATCGCCTCCAGGATCCAGCAGCTCAGATGCAACGATCCTCCTAGTGTATAAGATTTAGGGTTTACGGTTTAGCCTGCAAGCGCCTCCATCCCGATGTTTAAGGTTCCAAGATACTTGCGGTCTGTTTTTCAAGGTGCCGTTTCATCCCGGGATGGCAGCAAGAAGAGGAGCCATGGTGATTTCCCACTTTACTCCGGTTGATGTGTTGAATTGTCGGCAAGTCCGTGCACAACGTCGTTGTTTACCGTCCTTTATGGTACCGTGCGTGCAACATTGAGAAGTCTTGCATTCATGGTTCTGCATGGGCTTGCCATCCACGGAAAACACGAAACTCACTCGGGGTCGCGGTAAGGGGGGGGGGGGGAGGGGGAAGGATAGATGTTCTCACCTGTCCCACACCTCAAGCCTCCCATGTCGCTGCACGGACGGCATTACCGTCGCTGTCATTATTGCTGTCTTCGTCGTCGTCGCTCGGCGCTGTCGTCGTCGTTGTCGTGTCGTGCTCGTCGGTTTTGGTTCTTGGGTGGTGCTGCTGCTGTTGTATCCGAGCCGAGTCTCAAGCAGAACCTGCAATGATTTCAACTGGTACAACCCTGGCAACCCTGGGCAAAAACATTGTCTCCAAAGCATTGGGGAGTAAGCAGGCTTATCAGCCCAGCATCGGGCGACGGAGGTCCTGCTTCTAGCTACCGTTACAGCATAGATCGTATGTTGTATATTGTACAACCAAACCCCTAAACCCTAAACCCTATAAACCCTATAAACCCTCTAAGCCCTCTAAACCCTATAGACCCTATAAACCCTATAAACCCTCTAAAACCTCTAAACCCTATAAAACCTATAAACCCTATAAACCCTATAAACCTTATAAACCCTATAAACCCTATAAACCGTATAAACCTTATAAACCCTATAAACCCTATAAACCTTATAAACCCTATAAACCCTATAAACCCTATAAACCTTATAAACCCTCTAAAACCTCTAAAACCTCTAGACCCTATAAACCCTATAAACCTTATAAACCCTATAAACCCTATAAACCTTATAAACCCTATAAACCCTATAAACCCTATAAACCCTATAAACCCTATAAACCCTATAAACCCTATAAACCTTATAAACCCTATAAACCCTATAAACCTTATAAACCCTATAAACCCTATAAACCCTATAAACCCTATAAACCTTATAAACCCTATAAACCCTATAAACCCTATAAACCTTATAAACCCTATAAACCCTATAAACCCTATAAACCTTATAAACCCTCTAAACCCTATAAACCCTCTAAGCCCTCTAAACCCTATAAACCCTATAAACCCTATAAACCCTATAAACCTTATAAACCCTATAAACCCTATAAACCCTATAAGCCCTATAAACCCTATAAACCCAAAAAACCCTCTAAACCCTATAAACCCTATAAACCCTATAAACCCTATAAGCCCTATAAACCCTATAAACCCTATAAACCCTCTAAACCCTATAAACCCAATAAACCCTATAAACCCTATAAACCCCAAACCCTAAACCCCAAACCCTAAACCCTAAACCCTAAACCCTAAACCCTATAAACCCTAAACCCCAAGCCCTTCAGCCCCGAACCATGGATCTCCACGTAGAGTCTTTGTTGATAAGCGCTTAGAGGACCCCGGCCGCAAGGCGGCGGCGGCGGTATGGGAACGCCATCTTCCTTTGGGAGGAGCGACGGAACCGACTGACATAGGGCTTAGAGTTGAGGCTTTCGGGCTTATAGGGCTTAGCGTTATGGGTTTGCGGTTCAGCGCTTTTATTAGCCCAAATCCTAACGGCTGCGCTGCTCACTGCTCCCTTGTTGGATAGTTTCCTGTCCGTTTCGTCGATGCAATGTGTGGTTGTCAACGATTCTTCCAGCAGGGCTGCTTAAGGTTCCAACAGTTCATAGGAGGCCAAAAGGGGTTTTAGCCTATGGGGGTTTAGAAGGGACTGGGGTTCCCATAATAGAGTTCATATTAAAGAATCCCTACCCCAAGAATCTTAAGGCCCTCAACAGCCTGCAGGTTGAGCTGGTATGTGAAAGGCAGCTCGACAGGTTCCATGTTAGACTGCTACTTGGAGGATCATGGGACTTAGTAAGTAGCGTTATAAGTACCTTACTTGGGGTTATCAGTAATTATAACTGTAGTTGCCTTACTTATAACCCCAATTACTAAGTCCCCTGATCCTTTAAGTAGACATACTGCCGTGGCACTGTCAGCAGTGACCTTGTCACCCCAGGCAGCCTCGTGTGAATGCAACTGCGCAACCCACACCACCGTGATTCGGAGAAATTGCATCATACAGGGTCTTACAAACGAAGATAGACTTGCGCTGGAGTGCAGGAAGTGGAAGGTCTGACGGACGAGGCGACGCCGGAGCCCAGCAGCTTGAAAGCAAAATGACTTCCTCTGTTCAGCAAACCCAGTCTGCCCACAGCTTGATATCTCCAACGGGTATATATAAACCCCTAAACTTACCATAAACACAACACCCAAACACAGTCGTGGATAAGACATGCTGCCCGTATCCTTGCAGAAATTTCTGGGGATTCCGAGCTCTGGATCCACTGGGAGTAGGAAGAGGCTGCTGCGCATCCCCAAAGTCTGACTCGGCCTGGTTTTGGTAATATACTCAGAAGCTGATTCCGGTGTAGGTTTCGGCTTCAGATTTTGTCGAGTGTATTGGCCGTGTAGATGGGACGTACACCTGCACTGCATAATGCATGCTGCCCTTTTGCGATGTGCAGGTCTGAAGCTCGCTCTTTCGTAAGAACATGTGTAGATGCTGGCCCGGCCAACTAGCACTTTTGGTTCTGGAGATGTCTGGCAATTCCCAGTCTTGCTGCTGATATTTCACTTCCCGACTCATGCCTGCTTGCTGAAATGTCACCGAGGTGGTCCAGCGAGGACACATGAAGTTCAGGGCTGCGGGTTTGCGTGTTTAGGACGGGTGCAAGCTTCAGGGGTTGGTACTGCTAGTTTCAGGATCCTGTTACAATCGACCTCAAACTCGAAGATCTAAGGTGATGAGAGCTATCCTAGCTTCATGTTTGCGCAATTGTGGTGGGTCTCCTGGAGCATTTCTTCAACTGCTTGCTACCGGCCCTCCAGGCAGCCTTGGGCTTGAGGTGATCAGTCTTTTGCCTTTCTGCGGTGTCATTTCTGCAGGGCCTGTGACGGTCTGCAAAATCGAATCGCGAGAATCTGTTTAGCATAGATTCCTAAAGCCTGGACCCTGCACCCCCCGCACCCCTCTCAAACAGCCTAAACTCCTCCAAGCATCAAGTAGTAGAGCCCAGACTAATGTATGGCAACCTACTTACGTTTTGCCTATGCAGTATACCATACGAATGCAAGGGTGCAGTCATTGATCATAAATAGTAATCGTGGTGACACGTACTACCTAAGCTTCTTATCTGGCGTAGGGCTTATGAGCATATCAGGATCCGTGTTCGGCTCCCTAAGCCCTAAACCCCCCCAGAAAAAAACCCTAATCTATAAACCCTAAACCCTATGTAGAAAACACCCTAAACCCTAAACCCTCAAACAAGGTCACGCAACCGCCGGTGGCCCCGTTGTTTTTGCACGCGAAATCGTGCATTTGTCCCACGAATACCAGCATTCTTGGTTATAAATGCGGTTCACGGAATCGTCTTTTTCTTGAGTTGACAGCAGGAGAACATTGTTGTAGTAACAAAAGTGACACGCCTGCCAGTGTTTTCGAAGGTTTGCATGTGTATGGTTTAGACGATGTTTTTTGTAAGTCGTGCGTCTTTTGCAAAGTGATCTTTGAGGTTTGTGCAGGAAGTCGCACTGCTCCTAGTAGTAGTAGTAGTAGTAGTAGTAGTAGTAGTAGTAGTAGTAGTAGTAGTAGTAGTAGTAGTAGTAGTAGTAGTACTGCCTTAGGATTGTGGGTTTAAGACTTAGGGGTTTCCTCATCTCCCCTGAAAGCCGGAAAGGCTGCAATTCATGGAGCTGACAATGCATATCATCATCCCCCCCCCCCCCCCCCCCCCCCCCCCACCCCCGCTTTGGAAGCAGGCAAGAACCCTGAACAGCCTAAAAACATGCATTTGGCACGGGGCCGCGAGAGGTTGCGTGAGCTAAAACAACCTAAACCCTAAACCCTAAAACCACCTGAAACTCAAAACCCTTCAGGTTTCTGGACCAGGCCAAAGGGCTTTTGGGCTGGGCTTTTGTATGCTTGCGCAGGACCCTGACGACCGATGCCGAAGCCCTCCAGGCCCTTTGGGCAGATTCTAGACTTTCTAGAGCTCAAGAACGGGGCCTTGATTGTTAGAATAGGGTTCCGTTTAAGGAACTTTTCAAAGGGTTACGATGAGATTCAACCCAGGAGCGTATG